AATTGAGTAATGTATAGTTCTAAAATTTGAATTATAATCTACAGTTTGATACCAAATTTATTGACAACAGTAGTTCAATAAAATTTTGAATGCGAGGCAACAAACAAGATGACGTGGCCTTTCACCTGTGACTTTCTAAATACATATCAAATGTTTTGTTATTTTCTCCATCTCTACAGGGTTGATTGATTTGTTTAATCTTGTAACAGTATATATATATATATATTTATTTATATTTATTGTCTTTTTTTGTTTTAATGACCTTTAAACCATATCTAATTAAATTCTGCCACAAGTTGTAAATCATGTGGTGCATACTCAGCTCATATTACCATAGCATAAAACTGGACTTTGCAAAGTACATGTCTTACTCTTTGTTAGTCTTAGTACTAGCATACCAGTATTTTGTAAAATACTGTGACATTTCTGTTACCTTATATTACATATATATGTATGTATGTGTATATATATATATATATTATTAGTATTTATAAATAAATTCATAAATTTCAGTAATTTTTTAAAACATGGTTCAGCAACTGCCTCTACTACTAACAATGTTAGGAAGTCTTTTTGTACTGATGTATCATACTTACTAAGCCTCATTGAATTTCAGATGTGAATGATGTAAAAAATGATAATATGTATAGGTTTTATATATGCATTTGGAAATAAAAGAATTACAAAATTTCCACTGTAATTTATTGGGCTTCCTAACAAAACTGTACTTAGGTCTTAAAAATCTCATCCTGATCAGCATATTGCCTTGACAGGATTACGTAATTCAGAATGAGTGCTTTCGATACAATATCTTACCTCCATTCACAAGTAGCTTTCTTGACTTGTACTGCCTTATAATTGGTGCAAGTTTTTGCTTGCCACTTGCCTTGTTACTCCCACTTATTACTGCATATTAATATGCAAATGATCATGCAGCAACCCTCCTAATGCAACTAGTGCCCTATCTAATCATGCACATGCTAATCACTTCTCAATTAGCAGTCCTACTGATTAGATGTTTTTAATTTTGTGAATTTCTCCTTTAGTTAATTTATTTTCTGTTTTCATTCTGTTTCTTGGAAAGTTATGATTTATTTATCTTCTCTCCTCTTTTAATTTTGGAGTTATGCACTTGTAGTTTTGGGTGGTCATGACTATGACTGCTCTTACTGCAGCAGCAGAATTCTAATGGGTCAACACCATGATTATCAGCCCATGAAGTGATGGCTCTGGTCTGTTGGAGATGCGCACATGTGGAGACAAGTTCTTGGTAGGGCAGCTCCTCTTCCTACCTCGAACCTTATGTACAATTCCAGATTCCACCAGGTGCTGGTTGAGGCTGAACTTCCATTTACGGTCTGTCATGCCTTAGCTACTTTACACCAGGGGTCCCATTATTTCTGTATTACGTTTTTGGGGAGACTCCTCCATGTTCCTACCCTTTACATTTTGGTGACACATTACTAAAGGGCAAATAGGTATACCTGTCTCTAAAGTGGTGCTGTATCCCATTGGGGTATTGTTTTTAATTCCTTATCACATGGTCTTCCTTTCGGGTGCTTCCTAAAGGGGTATCATCTTCTTACTGGACTTACACCAGTTCAATGTGCGATTCTAGATTTTTGTGAGGAGAGGTAAGGTATCATATTGGAATTTAACATTTTCCACCCATTTTCCCCCACTTCTAGTGTGAATTGGTGTAGTTAATTATAGCCACTCTCAAAGTGATTAACATGTGTATAATTATAGAAGGTACTATATACAATAGGGGTAGTGTTGCACTCCTATTGGTGGAGAGTTGCTGTATGATCACTTGCATGTTAGTGTGCAGTAATAAGTGGGAGTAACAAGGCTAGTGGTGAGCAAAAATTTGTGCTGATTGAGGGAAATACAAGTCTAGAAAGACATGTGAGAGGAGGTAATTATATATCGGAAATACAATTTCACTTTTGGAAAATGTTAACTTTTGATTGGTTATAAAGAGAAGTAGGTGTAGGTAAGCAACTACTTTCAAAAGAGGAAGAGGTGGGCAGAGCTACTGTGATGGGTTTCTTAGATATAATATCTCAGCAAATAGAAAAG